CCTCATAATGGGCACAGCGGGTGTACAGACCCGGGAACTCAGCACAGGGATGGTGGGAGCCCCTCATAATGGGCACAGCGGGTGTACAGACACGGGAACTCAGCACAGGGATGGTGGGAGCCCCTCATAATGGGCACAGCGGGTGTACAGACCCGGGAACTCAGCACAGGGATGGTGGGAGCTCCTCATAATGGGCACAGCGGGGGTACAGACCTGGGAACTCAGCACAGGGATGGTGGGAGCTCCTCATAATGGGCACAGCAGGTGTACAGACCCGGGAACTCAGCACAGCAGGTAATGGGAACAGTAGGTGTATAGATTTTAGAATTTCTTCCCCCTACGAAAGGAACTCATGGCCCCCGATACACATGAGCTGCAGATGATCCCGTGGCCCCTGATATGGGGGTACTGGAGATGATCCAGCAATAAATTTGCAGCTAAATGTTAAAATTTGCCCCATTGACTCCCATTTTCTAAGCCCAAAGAAGCCCAAACAATCCCGGCACGGTGCTGCTCCCCCAACTGCACACAATCGTGGTGACTCACCGTCTGCATCCTCTGGCCTTGTCAGATCGATGACGCCGGGCCCCATTTTTCCTTCTTCGTTTGGCTTCCCCATCAGCTGTGGGCCCATATTGTCATAGTGTGTCCTCTCCTGCAAGACAAAAACCACAAGCGGTGTCATTCCTCGTGTGACATTAGGTGATCCAGAACCGCTCCCATATCTGATTGCGCCCCTCCCCCCAATGCATAAGAGGCTAGGTGAAGATATTGCCTGGAATTTACTGATTTTAAGTTGTTTTTGGCTTTTTTTCTAAGAGTTTCTACAATTCCTTTCGCCGGAGTTCTATAATAAACCCCCCTCACGTGATGTCCGGAAACATTGTATCTTTATTAACTAAAGTTAATCAATAATGGGGATCAGTTAAAGCAGGGGGTGTAAAATAGGGTTGCCACCTTTTCTTCAAGCAAAACCCGAACACTCCAGCGACGCGCTGACATTGTTTTGGGAGAATGAGCCGTGGCTTATTCATATGTACATAGTGCCGCCCATTCATATGTAAATATCACAATTGAGACTATTTTTTAGTGGTTGGCCAGTAGCCCTTATCTTAATTTTGGTTGCCCCCTGTCTGCCCGACATCTTGTGTCCGAGTTTCTGTTGCCATGAAACCTGTACACAGCATTCAACACCCGGACCGTCCGGGTGAATCCTGGACAGGTGGCAACCCTAGTGTCAAACTCAATTTAACCGTGGGGCCGCATCAACATTATGGTTGCCCTCAAAGGTATCTGTAAGGCCGAGGGGCGCAGAGAGATAATAGTTTTGTTTTGTTTTTTCAACAAATAATTTGTATTTAATTTGAAAATTTTGCATAGTAGTACAAAAAGTATTGCAGAAAACATCAAAAGGTGCACATTGCGGATATACATGTAGCATATTGGGTGCAAGTATTCACTTGATCATATTAAAACTTATGTGTACGGACAACAGTCCGGTATGCGTATTAACGATGCATGTAACTGATTTAGCTAATGACCCAGCCTAGCCCGATAGGATCGGTTGGTAGCTAGGCCGGGCCCTTCTGTGGTGATCTTGTGTACCTTTTTCCTGGTTTCCAAGGTATGACACTAGTAGTCAGTAAGATAACACGCAAAGAGGGTCAGAAAATAGAAAAGAAACCAGAAAGGAAGGAGAGGAGGGGGGGAGGGGGGGTAGTTTGAAGAGCGACGACCTCGAGACCAGTAAGACGTAGGTGCCAATAGTCTCATGCCAATTGTAAAATATTGGGGTTCAGGTCTGGAAGTGCGAGTTCGCACCACGGCGACCACACCTTCCGGAATTTGGCGTAGGAGTCAGACAGTACACTGGATAGTTGTTCATTGATGAAGAAGCCCTGCATACGTTGTTTGAACTCCCCAAAAGGTATTATCTGCTTCTTCCATGAATGAGCTATTGTCTGTTTTGCCGCCAAGAATACAAAATCCGCTAATTTCTGTTGAGGCCGCCGTAGTTGCATGAGTGCGTGCCAGGGGTCTCTGCGGACCGTTATGTCAGATAATGAGGAGACAAGTCTACAGACCTTCGACTAAAATCTGATGGCTGATGGGCAGGCCCAGAGAGATAATAGTTTTTAGCAGAGAGTCGTATTATAGGGTTGAAGATCTGATTCAAATCCAGACATACAGAGGAGCATTAAAGTATCATAATCTGCAAACATTATCGCTGAATGCCAATTAAACCCCAGAAATGACTCCGTACAATTATGTCAGCGCGGCGAAGATCCGACATATGCAGATTTCTGCTAATAGAGCACAAAACCCCCAGACAGGTGTCACGCAGCGCACATCCATGGCGCCGCACAAAGACCTACGCATGGAGACAACGATTTATGGGAGACGTTGAGCTTGTTCGCTTTGCAAGAGATGTTTCACTGTACAAATCGTACCCAATCACGCGCAAGGAAACTTTACAAACAGGGAAAGTGATTGGACGGTGGATGTCAGCTAGGGCCGCAGCTAGCAATTGTTTTCATCATTGATTAGTTGCCCGATTATTTTTTTTCAACTAATCGATTGGTAACTGAGCTGAGTGAAAAGTTGAAATTCACTCTGCAAGGTGAACGTGATCAGTTCCTATTAGGGCTCGTTCACACCAGGTGCCCTGATCAGCATTGATTGACGGAGGCTCGAGGTTCGGGAGCATAGAAAACAATTGTTCCCGATGTGTTCTGTTCACACCGTTTATGCGCGTTGGCGCGCGCGGCATAAAAATGTAACATGTCCGCATTGCTACGCAGCACAACGCAGAGCAGCACGTCGCAATGCACTGTTGTGTCACAAAGTATAACGTAAAACTGAAACAAAAGTAAACACTTTTGTTACAACGCATCGCCCCGCCCACACACACACCCTCGGTAAATGGGGGTCGTTGTCTGACAGTTTGGCCTATTTATTAAAACGAGGCGGCATGCCCCAAAAAAGAAGCCAAACTTTCACCGCTCTGTGTGAATGGGCCCCAAAATGAGTGCAGAGGATGCCACGCCCCGGTATTCAGAGGACGTACCATCCGATTGGCTCTCTGGCAGGAAAAGGCAGTCCTCCCACCCCCAGCTTTCCCGCCGTATCGGTGCCGAGAGACTCGTCAGCTCTGTTACAATTACAGCGCGTTTAGTGAGAGAACAGACAGGTCTCCAATTCCGCCTTCGGCAATCTCGTCTCTCCGCCGCGCACGCCGAGTCTTCACTTGTTATCATTAATTTATTGTTCCTCTCGCGTCGGCGTGTTTTCCCTCATGTCTTGTTGTTTCCTCCTCGGCAGACAAAACGCCGTGTTGTGCCGGAGAACAATGCAAGGCACGTCGTTCATTATCACAGAACAATATTAAACGTCGTGTCAGCTGCGATTTTGCAGACGCCGAGGAAGCGGCTCGGAGCTGGCGGAGCGCTTCTCTCACGTTAGACTTAATACATTATGCAGGAGCAGTGCGCCGCTCGCTGCTCCTCTCATTGTGCATTGACCCACTTCTCTCCACCGCGCTAAGCACTTCAAAAGCCAACGCCTGGGCGCGCTCCTTCCATACAGATCATTTTACCGATAGCAGGTCGGTGGATCGCTGGTAACAGAGTAACAACGTCTCTTATCATTGTTTCCCGAGCCATTCCCTACGGATCAGTCCGGACAAAAAGTCTTAACTTCTTTTCAAGATGAAAAGATAAAATTCCCGATTCTTCATTAGAACGCTCACTATAATTATCGGAACATTCCTTATTACATGGTGGCGTTTTTACCCCGAATTAAGAAGAGCAAAGAGGATCAAAAATTGGGAATTGTCACTTACCAAAATTTTCTGTGACAAATGGGAAACTTTAGGAAAATATTTACTATTTCAGCTTAATACTTCAATGCCTTTTATTTATTTTAGTTTTCACAGTTAAAAAAACAAAACAAAAACAAAGTAAAAATAAAGTGAATGTATCCGAACAACCATCAAATGCACAAAAACAGGGGGGAAAAAACCTAAATTAAATTGACTATCCTACCTTAACTAACCCCCAAATCTTCTAACTGAAGCGTAGATATTTTATCAAATTTCACCTAATGAGCAAATATTTTTTTTTTCATTTTATTTATTTTGCAGCAAAATTATTTAGTCAAAAAACGGTCACAAAACTTTGTTTTTGTGACCGTTCTAAAAAGTTTTTTTGTTTCATTTTGTTTCATCAAATCTCTCCCCTCGGTTACCAATACGCCAGTAAAATCTGTTATGTAGATAATCTGCAAATGTAACATTTTACAATGACCTTTCAGGCCTCGTTCACACAGCCAATGATATACAAATGATTTGTGTGCGGTTTTTTTAGGACACATCTAAACGCATCTAAATGCGATTTGTGACTTTAAATGGTGGAATTCATTGTATTCAGTTTGATTGGATTTAGAAAAAATAGAAATTGTTGGGCAGATGAGATATTCTGAATGTGTCTAAAGGAATAGTTTTGGCAGTAAAAGTCTGCAGATGCATAAAGGCAAAACAAACATACTGTACATATAATATATACTGTGTGTGTGTGTATATAATATA